AGGGGGCCGGCCCGGTGGCGCACCGCTACAGTGCGCCGCTTGTGAAGTGCAGCGGCGCTCCCGCCGAGGGTTCGGATCCCACATACAGACCGGCCGCTCACTGGCTGAGCGAGGAGCGGGGGCAACATCGAGGGTTGCGATCCGTAGCCGGTCCCGGTCCGGTACGGGCGCGACACTAAGGGTTGCGATCCGTTGCCGGTCACGAAAAAAGAGACAAAAAAAAAAAAAATATTCCAAGAGGTAAATGGAGGCAAAGACAGGGAATCGAGATGAAAGAACATGTTGATCTGAAAAAGAACTAAATAGAAATTCTAGATAAGAAAAATATTATATTTGAAGTGTACATGCACACATGCATACTCATACAGGTGGATTAAACAGTAGACTAGTAGCTGAATAGAGATTTAGTGAATAGATAGGCAGATATTTAGAAAGCAAGTAGAATGAAGCACAAAAAGGAAAATAGATGGTAAAATATGAAAGCACCATAGAGGATAGAATGAGATGTTCAGTATAAGTGTAGCAGAAGTTGCAAAAGAAGGACTAGATGGAATAAGGAAAATGCAATAAAAGAAGAAAGGAAGGTAGAGAACTTTCCAGAATTGAAGACATGAGAGGTTAGATAGAAAATTTCACAAGAAGTAGCATGGTGCACTTGTACAACTCTCAGAAATGTTGAGATAGTTTAGATTCTCAGTATGTTTCTTCACAGTCACCAGTTAGACAAGTGAGCCTGATACTTTACACACATTTAATATTAATTTTAGAAACACATCTGTCTAACTTGCATGTTGTATATGATTTTGCCTTTAATTTACATTTGGGTTTTTCATTTTTAGGATATTTTTAGCTAGGTGATGATTTGTCTTAAATGTAATCTGCTATACAGTAGTGGTTGAAAATCCAAAGTATTATTTTTAAAACCTATTCTCCATAAAGCCGTAGGGTTCTTGTGAATGTTGTAGTGGATGGATTGGTCAAAGGAAGGGCAGAGCTGGTAGGACCCCAGACTTCTATCTCTATTTGATTTTTTTCTTTTTTCTTTTAAAGTTACAAATGTTCCCCCCCCCAAAATAATATAGAAGTATATAAAGTTAAAAAAAAAAAAAGTCCTACTTACTTTATATATTGGGATTCCATGTAAGATATGGTTTTGAAAAAACTGTTTCTGCTTTTTAAAAAATCAGTAGCTGGTAAAAAAGTGCTTTTGTTAATCATCTGTTTTTTCTTCATACCAGTTAGTAAAATTAGAACATAAGAACAATATGTTGTAAACAGCACGATTTTAAGTGTGCTATTTTGTGAGAAGTTTTATTGTTTTAAAGATATAACAACTTTCACTTGAAAAGAGTTTTATCAATTCAAGAAAATGTTGCAGTCTTTTAAAATATTGCAAATGGTTATTTTGACCTTAGGTTCCTCAAAGAAAAATGCAATCAGGTTGCTTTGATCTGGATTCTTCACTACTGCATCTGAAAAGCTTATCATCTAGAAGGTATTTATCTTAAAATTCATTTGTGTGTACGAAACAGAATTTCACTAAATTTTGGCCTTTCACAATAAATAATGTTGACTCTAAAAATCAAAGTTTAACAGGAATCTTATTTTCAGCATAGTGCCACACACACACACACACACACACACACACACACACACAAACAAAGAATGAAGAAGTTAAGACAATAAGTAGCAACTATACGTTGGTCATCATAATAAACTCTTACATTGGTTTTGACATTTAAGTGGATTTGCATATTTTTGATCATTAAACTCTACCTTTTATTCCTTTGCATAAAAGCCTTGCCAGTTTTTCCATGTTGGCAAATAATATTCTGATTATATTCTTTAATCACATAATTTTGCCTTTAGATTCTGGTCTTTAACTGAAAATGGAGATTGATATAGAAGTCTGTATTATTATATATTTCCAGTAGATGTCACTGTGTATGTGATGTTATAAATTCCACCTTGAAACCTTCTAGGATATTTTGTGTGTATATATATATATATATATATATATATATATATATATTCTTTATCAAGTATTATAACAAGAATTATAAAAATCTAATCAGGAATTTCATTGTATTTTTTAATTGAATCAAAATTGGTTATACATATTTTGGGTATTCAATGCTGACATATATTGATCAAATCAATATTACTAGTATGTATATTGTTACAAATTGTACTTATTCTTTATACCCCTTGTCCAATCTCTCCCTATGCCCATCTGTAATCAGGAATTTTAAACTAGAAATTTTTTATCTTAAACTGTAACATTAATTTTAGTATGGTAGCTTAACTAAAATTATTCAGATTCTCCTAATTTAATTTTGTACAAAAGTAAAGAAAAAAATATTGTGGTTAATGTGTTCTTTTGCTAATTTGTTTTACTAGTTCTCGACCATGTTTAAACATTGAAGATGATCCAGAAATTCATGAGAAACCATTTTTGAGTTCTAGTGCTCCACCTATAACAAGTCTTAGTCTCCTAGGAAATTTTGAGGTAATGTGTTTTGAAACTTTTTTTTTTTTTTGAGATGACCAGTAAGGGGATCTTAACCCTTGACTTGGTGTTGTCAGCACCACGCTCTCCCAAGTGAGCCACAGGCCAGCCCGTTTTGATACTATTTTAAGAGTTGAAGTTTCTTAACCTAGGTCTAGGGTGTCATTTATGTCTTCAACTTTGTGAAAAGTAAATAAACAAATTGATTGTCTTGAAATTACCTCTTTTATCTTATTATGTTTTGTTTCTGTGAGAAGGGAAGTTGGGAGAATTGTTGGTAATGACATCTTAAAATTGGGTAGCTTGTAGAGGAGATAGAGGACTTCAGCAAAATCAGATTGGATGGAAATATCTGTTCCTTTAGCCAGGAGAATAGACATGACCACATCTTCTTACCTGGTAAAATTGGCTCTGGGACCCAGGAAAAGTGATGGTGACCTGATAGCAGCCCCTTCATGATCAAGGAGGTTGATTTATATGATCAGATGGTTCTCTGTATTTTATTTAAAACTTTTCTGTAAATCTAAATCTATTCTTAAAAAACAAGACTATCTTTTTAAAACTTAAATGGTTAAAGATTTTTGATACATATCCTGCTTTAATATGAATATTTCTACTTGAGATCAAGTATATCACTGGGTTTAGTTGTCATTAATTAGAAATCAGCTCAATCTTAATCATGAAACTGTAAATGATATTTTTAAAGTGATTTTAATTGGTGAGTTTTTTAGGGGAAAATAACTTAAATTTTATATTTTTAGTTAAAATAAGTAGCTTTACTGGAGTTTTGGTTTGATATATTAACTGTACAAAGGGTCTTCAAAAACTTCATGGAAGATTCATATTATCTTTTAATTCAATTTTTCCATGAACTTCTTGAAAAAGCCTTGTATGCTTTAATTATACCTTTTAATATTGAGGCTCTCTTTCAAAGTTTTAGTGGAAACAAAAAGAAAAGATTTTGTGGTAAGTTGATTTCTTTTCGGTGTTACTTTCAAGATATCAGTTCAGAGATGTTGAACTCTCTGTTCCTCTTCGTCATCTAATTAAAGTTGCATAGACCAGTATGAGGGTCAGGTGCTCTGTAACCTTTGTGCTCCAAGAAAATTTATAAGGGAGAAAGAGAGTAGTTTGATATGTGAAAACCTTAGAAAGGGGAAGATAGTTAAAAGATCAGTATACATACTTTTCTTTTCAGAGCATTCTATTTGTGCAGATGTGCACACATTTTTCAGGTAACTTGATGAAAAAATACAGAGAAGTTCAAGACTGTCCAACCCATAGGCCCTCTTTATAATGAATTTGATACTGTCTTCAGTAAATTGCAGAGGATATTTACTTTACTTAGTGAATTTGATATGCTATGGCAATAAAAAAAGGAGGGGAGTAGACTTGAATTACTAAACTAACACATTGGTCTTGTTTCATGAAACAGGGCAAAGTTTTACCCCTGTAGTGTTGTTGAGGGGAATCGTGATGTTTTGACATTATCTGTGGGGTGTTAAATGGAGTCTGGAAATATATTGATCTCAGAGTAATACCCAAGTAGAAGGCTGTCCATCTGATTACTGTGGCTAATTAGTCACCTTTTCTTGCTACTATTTATGATTTTCTACTGCAGAACCATGTCATCATCCATTCAACTCATCTGTCCTGTGATTTTCTTCTTCCATCAATTCAGTCCAACATAATACTGACAACCATTGGAAATGGGTTAACTATTTTTCCTATTAGGGAATCCCAGTGCTTTCTGTCACTATAAAATACTTTGTATCTTCTAGGATTTTATATAAATGGAGTCACACAGTATTTACTCTTGGGGGATAGGGTGTAGAGGCTTCTTTTACTCCCTACCATCATTTTGAGATTATTCATGTTGTTGTATGTATCAAGAAGTCATTGCTTTTTATTGCCATTATATGGATACACCAGTTTATTTATTCATTTGCCTGATTCTAGACATTTGGGTTGTCTCCACTTTGGGGCTATTACAAGTAAAGCTGCTTGAACATTTGTGTATGAGTTTTTGTATGAATATAAGTTTTCATTTCTAATGGAAGGTTTGAGTAGAATGGTAGGTATATGTTTAACTTTTTAAGAAACTGCCAAACTATTTTCCTAAGTGGTTATACTGTTTTTAGTTCTCATTAGCAGTGTATGAGAATTCTAGTTTCTCCACATCCTTGCTAATGTATACAATGGTCTGTCTTTTTAATTATTGTGTTTTTAATTTATATTTCCCTAATGACTGATCATGTTGAGCCTCTTTTCCTGTCCTCTTTTGCTGTATAAACACATATATTTTCCAAATATTTTCTCCTAGTCTGAGGCTTGGGCTTTACATTTTTGTGTCTTTGAGGAATGAAAGATTTTAATTTTGTTGGTGTCTAATTTATTAATATTTTCTTTAAGGGATCTTGATTTTGATGTTGTATCTAGAAAAATCTTTGCCTAGTCCAAGGCTTCTTTATCTTGGCACTATTGACATTTGAGGTAGATAATTCTTTATTATGGGGGCTCATAGGATGTTTAGCAAAATCTTTGGCCTCTACATACTTGATTCCAGTAGCACCCCTCTAAGTTGCAGCAACCAAAGACGTCTCCAAATATTGCCATATGTCCCCTGGTTGAAAACCTCTGTCATAACCCAAGGTCACAAAGATTTTCTTCCATGTTGTCTTCTAGAAGTTTGTTTTAGCTCTTACACTTAGATCTGTGTCCATTTTGAGTCAGTTTTGGTGTACAATATGATGTGTGTGGTCAAGTTCACTTTTATGCATATGGATGTCCAATTTTGTAATCTTGGAATCAGATAGTGTGAGTCCTGACTTTACTGTTCTTTCTCAAAATGGCTTTAACTCTTCTAGTTCTTTCACCTTTTCTTATAAATATTAGCATTAGTTTGTCTATTTCCACAAGACAGCCTGCTGAGATATAGATCAATTTGGGGAAAATTGATATCTTAAGAATATTATGTCTTTCAATCCATGAAATCCATTTATTTAGATATGCTTTGATTTCTTTCATCAGTGCTTTTTAATTTTTAGCATACAGATCTTGGACATATTTTTGTAGATCTATAAGTAAGTATTTCATGTTTTCTGGTGAGATTGTAAATTATACTTTAAAAATTAAATTCCCAGTTCATTTCTAGTATTTTAAAATGAGTGAATATGTATATCACCTGTGATCTTGCCCAACTCACTTATTAATTTTAGTAGATTTTTTAAAGATTCTTTGAGATTTTCTAAGTAAACAATCATGTCATCCACAAATAGTGACAGTTTTGTTTCTTACTTTGTAATTCATATGTCTTTTATTTCCCTTTTCTTGTCATATCACACCTGAGTAGAGTCTAGTACATATGCTAGTATATTAAATTCACAAAAATCTGAACTACCTCAGATAAAGTCAGCAACTCATGTTAGTCATTGCCTTGTTCATAAACATTTTTGTATGTACCCTTCCTGTGAAAATTATGCCCATCTTTAGAATAGGTTTCTTATTTAAGAAACATTTGTTGATTACCTACTATGCGTCATGCTGTTATGCTAGGAATACAAAGATAAATGATAAAGTTCCTGCCTTAAAAGTTTATAGTTTATTGGAGAAGGATATGTAAATAATTTATCAACCTTAGTAATTAGCACTGCAATGGAAGTTTAAAACTTGTATATCTATTGTCTCTGCTAAAGGGATTGGGGAAAACTTTACTGAGGAACTGTCAATTGAGCTTGGTCACAAAAGATGAGTAGGAGTTTGCCAAGTAAATTTGTTTGGGGAGTGGCAAAAGATTCTAGACAAAGAGAACTACATGCACAAAGGCACATGTGCAAAAGTAGTGAAAGAGCATGGTGATGTTGGAAAGCATCAATTGGAACTGAAGCATGGGACTGTGCAAGTGGGCAGAGATGAAGCAAGAGAGGTAGGGTGGGGATACATGCTATGCTATGAAGTTTTGACTTCATCCTATAACACAAAGTTTTTAAGCTGGTGTGTGATATAAGACTTTTTTTATAAAAGAAAAACAACTCTGGCAGTAGTATAGAGGATATACTAGAGACAGAAAGACTAATTAGAAGATGTTATATTTGTTCAGAGGAGAGGTTGTAAGGATCTGACCTAGGGTGGTGGTGGTGGAGATAGAGATGAGGCCATGAGACTGAGAGGTAGAATCAACAGGATATGGATTAGATTGATTGCAGGGCAAGGGGGAAATATAGAAGGCTGGGTGTGACACAGTTATGTTGGTCTTATTTTTTTGACCTGGAGACTTTGGAATTGCTAATATGTTTCAAATTTAGACTTCACAGAATATTAGAATCGAGAGGGTTTGCAGCCTTCCTTTTCAAAGAACTACTTAATTGAAGGAATGCTACTCACATTTTATGATGTATGCATGTGTGCATTGATGTAGGTATATGAAAGAAAGTTTATGAAAGGTTTAAAATGCTTCTCATACCAGGAAAGATAAAGACTAAATTGTTAAAAGTAGTTCATCTCAGTGAGTGAACTTGGGAAGGGTGGATTAGGAGCTTCTCTACTGTATTTCTGTACTTTTGAGTTTTTTTCTAACCCACAGTTATTATTTTTAAAATAAAACTAAATAATAAGATGTGTCACATACAATAGCGTTTTTTAAGAAGCAATTATTTCTCAGTTAAAGTTATTAATGCTTAGCTTCATCTTTTGGTGGAAGTTCTGTATATGACCTGTTAAGTTTTCAAGTGCTTCTCTATGCCTAGCACCATGAATAGGCACTGTGAGGGATAAATACCTGATCTAGTAGAACATATTTTTTTATTTACAGATATAAAAGTAATATATTAAACAATGAGGTCTAACTAATGGTGAAGTTCCAGGAAAGTTCAGCCTGAGTTCAAATAGCAAGAAGAAGCCAAACTCTGTAGGATGATATAAGACTGATGGGAGATGGGGTTGATTTCAAGTCAGATGAACAGCAGAAATGAGGACATGGCAGTGGTAACAATCACTTTTCCAATGCTAGAAAGCATAGTAATATATTTCTTTAAATAGGAAAAAAGTGAGTGTGTTAACTTTTCTAACTGATTTTTAAAATTATTTTGTCTTCCAGGAATCTGTCTTGAACTATCGTTTAGATCCTCTCGGCATTGTTGATGGTTTTACTGCCGAGGTAGGGGCAAGTGGTGTTTTCTGCCCCACACATTTGACTCTTCCAGTTGAAGTGTCATTCTACAGTGTTTCAGATGATAATGCTCCCTCTCCTTACATGGCAAGTATTTTTCAGATTGTTTTTTTCTGCTCAAATTAACCAGCTTAATGACAAATATCTTTAAGTGCTTGGTGCAATTCTCAAGTGTAAAACGTTTCCTAACAGAAAACTGAAAGCTGAGTACAGACTCATACACCTTATAACTTTTTTCTGAGCTAGCTCTAACAGCAGGTAACCTCTTTTGCATTTGAGGATCATGCTGAAAGTTTATTGTTTCTATAAGGTTTTAAAAAATAGTAAAAGTTGATTAATGACACTATAATTCCATCTTGCTGAGTTCACACAAATTCTCAAGTACTTTGCACTCTGGTCCTACAAGGGTTACCTTTCCATGTGATGCTTATCTCAGTAGAGATTAGTTAAAAACATGACCTAAGCCTTCTGTAAGGCCCTTTCACTTTACTTTCTCCTGTTTGGTTTATCTTTGGCCTACTCTAATCCTAGGGTTCTTTACCATCCCAGCTATTTGTAACTCATGCTAATTAATGTCTTAGTGGCAGGTAAGATGGCTAAGGGGAATTAGAGCATAGTCTTGAGTCTTAAGATTGATTTTATGATTCTACTTTTTCCATTATTTATTCCAATGGATTGTGGATAAAATAAGCCTTCAACTGCAAAAATGATACCAAGTCCTGATGTATGATTAGTATCATCTCTTTTCCAAAATAAAGAGGAAGAAGTGACTAGCAATGCATGTCTGTGAAAAGTTTACAATGATGGTATCAAATATGGAGACAAATCTGGGTTTTCATATTAGTGTTACTTTGAGAAATACAATTACTATAGGCATGGATCTGTACATCCCTGGTCTTGCTACTTGAATTTCCTAACTTACTAACTGGCCAAACTACTTCCTCTCCTAACATCCCCCTCCCTCTTTCTAGGTTTTCAAGGACATTAATAAAAATGTCTTCTGTTATTAATAAAAGCTATGAAAGGGGACTTCTAAATAATTAAGAAAAAAAAACAGAGAGGAAGGAAGCTATACTTTTTAACTATCTGAATACAGCCTAATAATTATTGGCTTGGTTTGCTTAAGGAAGGTTGTTTACATTTACTCTGTTTTAAGGATGAAACTTAGTCAAGAGTCTGATCAGTGTTTCACACTTTGATAGAAAAAGCATAGTGGTGTCTACTCATTTGTTCAAAGTTTTCTTTTCCCAATAATATTTATACTTGTGGGTCATAATCATGAAGAGGAATGTTGGTTATTATCACAACCAGAGGCTCCCCCTTCACAAACCTTCTCAGTTATTACATGTGCCACCTGTTATCCATTTACCATAGAAAGATGTATTCACTTTTCCAGTACCATTTTGAAACAATAACTGCTAATTTTGGAGAATTGATAAAATGGGAAGTACCACTGAGATAAGTTCAGTACCAGAATAAATGTGTATCATACTGGAATGTTTACAGTATTAGAATATAGCTCTAAAGATGCCCATTTTGCTTTACCAGGACATCAAGAAGTCTTATCGGTTATACACATTCTGTTGGCACATAGTAATAGAGAATGGAAAGATAAGATCTAAAATAATATGATTTGTCATTAGTAGACAGAGTCCCTGATGCTATTAGGATGACTTTGAAACAAGATAAAAGGGTGAACTAGCTGAAAATCAGCTCAAATAAATATCTATAAGTGAAATTCATGAGCAAGAGGAAATTTGAACTATTCTTTGAAAAAGCAAAACAGCATTAATATTTGACATTGGTTGACACCTAAAAAATGCAGGATAGGAGATAAAGGATTTTGTCACTGTACCTCCAGAAAGTATTGGAGTATACACAAATGACCACAGGTTTTCTTGGTTTGTTTGTTTTTGGTGACTGACCTGTGCAGGGATCAAACCCTGAACCTTGATGTTATCAGCACGACACTCTAACCAACTGAGCTAACCTGTCAGCTCACAAATTTTGAATATATATTGGAAAGAGTATAAAATCTATCCTTTATTGAGTTAGTCTATCCTTTTAAAAATCTCTGACTTCTTTTTCTCTGATAATATTCTTCAATCAACTATTCCATATATATAGATATAGATATATATGTTTTCTAAGTCAGTTTACTTATTAGGAATGAGTTCCCTTTGCAAGTGACCCAGTCCAAATCTTAGACCACAAATCTTTCCTACTGTAAATTAATAAAATTAATTTTGTTCTTTAAGGAATATTACTTATATTTTGGTAGTTTAGTTTGTTTTCTAAGGACTCGATCATATTTTGATAAGAGAATACATATCACAAACCAGCAGAGCTAAGATACAAAACTCTTGTTACTCTATTTTTTTCTTTCTTATTGTTAGTTGTTTTTTGGGGGTGGCTGGCTGGTAAGGGGATCCAAACCTGTGACCTTGGGGTTATAAGGCTGTGCTCTATAACCAACTGAGCTAACCAGACAGCCTGTTACTCTAATAATAACTGTGGGATCTCTCATTACAAATTATACAAATGATTCACAAAGGTAAAATTTTAGCACAGAAAATTCTGTCTTTGTGGTGTAGAGATGGTACAGGACTTTTTATTAAATAATTCCTTAAAGATGAACTCAAAGCCATATAATCTCTCTCCAATTGGAAGTCAGGGGTGAAAATGTTCTCTAAGTGTTACATGACAACACTTAGCTGTTTAGAGACTTGCATGGTGAAACTAGGTGAGAAATATCTAAAGCAGGGGCTGGGCCAGTTAGCTCAGCTGGTTAGGGTGTGGTGTTGTCACACCAAGGTTCGGATCCCTGTACTGGCCAGCCACCCCCCCAAAACAAAAAAAAAGAAATGTCTAGAGCAGGTATGCCAGTGGAAAATGACTTGCATTACTATCATATTAACAGGACCATGTATGATTTCCTTACATTTGTAATTAACCAAATCAAGATATACTTCTTTCAGTTTTCTTTTCTTTCTTTTTTTTTTTTAAAGATGACTGGTAAGGGGATCTTAACCCTTGACTCGGCATTGTCAGCACCATGCTCACCCAGTGAGCTAACCAGCCATCCCTATATGGGATCCAAACCTGTGGCTTTGGTGTTATCAGCACCACACTCTCCCGAGTGAGCCACAGCCCGGCCCCCTTCTTTCAGTTTTCTTTTCTTTCTTTTTTTTTTTTAAAGATGACTGGTAAGGGGATCTTAACCCTTGACTCGGCATTGTCAGCACCATGCTCACCCAGTGAGCTAACCAGCCATCCCTATATGGGATCCAAACCTGTGGCTTTGGTGTTATCAGCACCACACTCTCCCGAGTGAGCCACAGCCCGGCCCCCTTCTTTCAGTTTTCCACTTATTTTTGCATATTCTCTATTTCACAATAATTTGAGGTTTTCTGTTTTGTTTTGATTTGGTTTTGGTGGCTGGCCAGTACACAGATTTGAACCCTTGACCTTAGTAATTTGAGTTTTTGTGTAAGATTTTGACCAAATTTAGTTTTTCTTAACCTTACTATTCCATCTAAAATGCCAGAAGAAAATGTGTTTTTCTTCTTTGTTAAATTTAGCAACTTATTAATAGGCTAATCAATTAAAATAATGAAATCATTTAAATAATAAGTACTAATAAATTTAATATTAATAAAATTTCAAATGATTTCTTAGTCCCTTTCTAAAATTCCTAACTTGTACTGGTCTTATATTGCTTAGAAATTGTTGTTTTAAAATAAAGGTTTTTTAAGAAATCTATATTCTTTCTTTACAAAGTGAGTTAGTTACCATTGTGTTCTAAAAACAGAATTATATATACTAAAGAAATAACTATAGGGTTGGTGGTAGTTTTTGCCTTACTAGTTTTCCTGTATATATTTGGGGGGCAGAGGGCATGCTGGTGAGGAAGAGCAGTAATGTATATGCATATGGTGATATGATTATAAAGGTAGCTATTATTTAGGTATATTGTACTTTTTCTTTCTGGACCTACAAAGAAGAGGAGTATTACATCCTATACCGTTTTTGATGTAGAGTAAATATTCACACTCTTCTCATAAGAAAAGTGGCATACATAGTATGGCACTAGACATGCAGAACAGATTGTGAGAGAGAAATTGTTAAAGCTTCAATGCCATTTTGGTTAGAGATGCAGCTTGCTGATATGCTGTTTTCATGCTTTAAATGACCATGTGATAAATCAGATTTGTCAAGAACCACCTGTGTCTTTTCAGTGCCCGTTTCCATGAACATTTCCCAATGTTAATATATTAATTTAATAATCTGATGTCGTGTGTTGTTCACTTGGAGTTAAGGGATTCATGTCAGAATCTGGCCCTCCCTTTACCCTGTGCACTCCTTTTTACCTCCCAAACCTGGTCTAACTTCCACACCCAACATAGATGTCACCTGACGGGACAGTCCTGTTTTATACTTACTTTTACATAAAATTGGCGTGTTTGGGCACGTACATTGTATAATGATAGAACCATGACCTATAGAGCATGCAATTATTCTATTTAACTACCTTAACTTGAAAAAAAAGTATTAGCCCAATTAAAGTGAATAAATTAGCATTCATTTTTTAAAGCTATCTAAGAATTAAGTATCACAATCACCAGCCTGTAGTCATTTGGTCATCCTGGTTATTGAGAAGCTTTCACACATTCAATTTGAACTCATCTTGTTTCCGATTGTTTGAACTTCTGCAGTAATTAGAGCATCCTTCTCAGAAAAAATACTTCATGTGCCAGAGTAGTGCTTCTCAAACTTTAATGTACATATGATTATCATCCGGTGAATCTGGTTATAATGCAGATTAGATTTGGTAGGTCTGGGGAGAGCCAGACATTCTGCATTTCTAACAGGTTCACAAGTGATGCTGATGATGCTGGTCTGAGAACCACTCTGTGAGTAGCAGACGAACTGGAGGACTCCTCATATCCCCTTTTAGATTTCTCTAATGAAATAACTAATTTAGCTCTAATCTTTACTCACATCTTAGCTGTTAGATCTTTAATCCATTAGGTTGTGATTTAGAATCAGTTTGGACTCTTAGATTCCTTACTAAGTAAATAACCAAAAAAAAAAAAAAAATGCCTTAATATGATCCTGATTAAGGCACAACATGATATAAGGAGGTTATTTCTGAAGAAATATCTAATTCTAGGGAAGTGGAATTTTTATAGCTTCTATATAGAAGATTGAACCCTCATTTTGTACTTTTTGCCTTGAACATCTCTTCTCCTGTGAATTAATTATCAGGCGGGAACTTCAGACTTCCAAATTCCATTTCTATTTTTTTCTGTCTCTAGTCAGAAATCCAGATTTGTAACTTAACTCACCTCCCTGACTGAAGAATTGACTTCATTTTTGGCCAAGACTTAGATCCTTCCACACTTGTGACTTTTTACATGCCCAAAGACCAATAAATGGTTTTGCCTTTTCATTCCCCCTCGCCCCCAAGATACATGGGAATATCCTATGACCTCCCTTTATTTCTTTTTTGGTTAGGGAACTTCTTTCTTTATATCTTATGTCTCAATAGAATTTCAAGCAGTGTGACCATTGATGTTATATATTGTGTATTGCAAAATCTCCAGGAAGAATAGTAAATTGTTTCTTTGGTGGTTGAACCCTCACTATTTCATGCTCATACAATATCTCTATTAATTCAATTTGAATGTCTTTCCATAGAAATAGAATTCTGAAATTTTAATAATTTAAATTATTAACATGATTTTTTATTATTATTATTTTAGTATTCTATATAAATGTGCATCAGTTTGTACTCACTTTGTCTTCTTTTATTTCAAGGGTGTGATTACTTTAGAGTCCCTTGGTAAAAGGGGATATCGAGTACCTCCTTCAGGAACAATTCAAGTGGTATGTGTTTTATAGCCTACAATTGCAATAATCATTCTCTCACATACATATAGAACTTAGCCCTTTCTCCTGCTACTGCTGCTGCAACAACTTTGGTAAGTAACAGTGGGGCTGCAGCTTTGTTTGGAGGTTCCCTGCTCTGCCCCAGGAATGACCATTTGGGGACATCCATAAAAGGAAAGCATTAATAAGCTAATCAAGGTGAATGCTTTAGAAAATAGTATATGACAGTTTACGTAACTTAAGTAGAGCCATTTTAAATATAATTAGAACCCAACATTACTGGTGCCTTCTATTTAATATAATAAGCCAGAATGAAATTGACCTATTTAAAGGAAGACCCCAAATATTAGTACTGCTTTGCCAGGAAAACTTGAGAAACAAAATGATATGCATAGTGTAATAATTTCTAAAATTGATCTAATGAGATGATTACACAAAGCAGAAATGTAGTCTGACATGTCAGGGCGGAGAAGGCATCATTCTTTTTTGTCTAGGTGTTAATTGGCTCAGGAGAACGCTTTTAGCCCAGAGCAGTCCTTCATCATCCCTGGTCTAGGGTTCTTGGTAGAATACTTTGATATCACGGCCAATTTGCAAGTGAGTTCATCTCCAAGTCTGGCCCAGAATAATCCTGCAAACACTCAAAATTATTACAGAGTTTGAAGACTGAAAAAGACTCTAGCAGACTGAAAAATAGTATAACTGAGGTTTATTCCTCACACTCAGGATGTGGTCTAATTCAACAAACCTTTCTAGGACGTTTGGCCTCAGTATGTTTGGTGCTTTGTCACATCACTTTTGCTCATCACAATTGTTTCAGTACTGCAAGGAATCTGTACATTTGTTTATTTCATATCACATAGTAATGAAACATAGTTCTATGCAATGTATGTGTATATATACTGTAATATATATATATAAATTTTACTGAGGAGGAATCACTGCATATTAAAGTGTGATTTTTATGTTGAATGGATTTTTTGAACTAAAGAAGTGATAATCTTCTGTTCTCTTGTCCCTGGCTATGTAGCTCATGAGAAAGTGTGGGTCACTGGAAAGCTAGCTGTCAGTTGTCATTATAATGAGGCATAAACTGAGAGGCAGCACATTCACCTCTTGTTTGGAGACTGCCAACTTTAGTGGTTAATTTTAAATATGAAATTTGGGTATGTCTTTTATTACTTATATAGTTTAATTATGTATAAATATGGTTTGAAATCCTGGCTTGGTAGTTGTGGTAATTAAATGTATTAGCCTTAATCTTAAGACTCACTAGATTTCAAAAATTGGATCATAATATTGATATATTTCTCATTTTGATTCAGTGAGTGATGTCCAGTGCCACGGATGAGCTTCTGAAAGCATGGGCACCAAGTTACCTATTGATGTGTTGGTAATTTGGTTAAAGTCAGATCAGCAGCTTGGGGTTTTGTTTAAAAATTAGTACTCTTTAAAACAATGTCTTCAATTATTCTTAGTTAAGTATCAATTCAATTCAGTTCAGTCTTCACTAAGAGTACATAGTTTGGTGTATAATGATATTGAAAAAAAAATTTTAAAAGCCTAGTGTTGCTGCAAATTTTGAAATGATTCCAAGTGTGAGAATATGAAGCATTATTTGGCCTATTTTGGATCTATTATTAGTGAGTTTTATTTTCTAAACTTGAAAAAAATTTTTCAAATAGAAAAAAAGTCTCTTTTTTGAACACCTATTTTTAATTTTACAATAACCATATGTGCCTAAAACACCAAAAATTCTAGTTTACTGAGCATTTCTTTATTTTTAAAAATCTATTTACTCATCATAAAAATGTGAGAAAAATTAAAATTCTATTTTGAGAATTTTGCAATTGGTAATCTTTAATGAAACCAATGTTTTGAATAATTAGACTATTTTAACCCAGTAAGGGTGTATTTTGCTTAAGCAAATGGAACTTTTTAAAAATCTGAATAAGGAGTAAAAGTTATATTGTCTGTTACTAATATGAAATCTGTGACTAAATATTTTGATTTGTTACAGGATTTTATGTTATTGTGAAATAAAAAATTAAATTGAACCTTTTAAAAATATATTGAGTATTAGTTTATAAACTTCTGGAATTTTATTAATTTTAGTCCCTGAAACTGAATTGTATCTAGTGGGATTACCTTATTGTTAAAAAGCCAATTTAATTATTGGCACAGTCATCTTAAGTCACATCAACAAATCACCATTTTTAAAGAATAATTTCTATGTTGTTTCTTCAGACCTTATTTAATCCTAATAAGACTGTGGTGAAGATGTTTGTTGTGATATATGACCTACGAGATATGCCAGCCAATCATCAGACATTCCTACGACAAAGAACTTTTTCTGTACCTGTTAAACAAGAAATGAAGAGAAGTGTTAATAAAGAGAATATCCGAAATACGGAAGAACGGTTATTACGCTACCTCATTCATCTGAGGTAATGTTTCAAATTCATATGAAAATGTTACTTTAGAACAACTCTAAACTTTTAATTTATTAATTAATTTATTTATTTATTAGACTGTGACTGTAACTAGATCTGTGCCCCTTGGCTTTTGCTTAGCTTGGGAATTCTTGATGATATGCCAAGATGCAGAAAGCACATGGCATATCTTCCTGAAGTCATTATTATTTATTGAGTTAGGGGACTTCATTTGTAAATATTTATTGTAAAATATTTTATGTCAAAACAAATGCAAATATATCTGAGGCAGTGAAATTTGTTTTCTAAACCAATACTGTCCAATAGAAATGTAATATACAGTTTTATATTTTCCAGTAGCCATATTTTTAAAAGTAATAAGAACCAAGTAAGATTAATGTTTTATTTAACCCAGCATATCTAAATTTTATCATTTGAATATGTAATTTATATAAAAATTATCAATGAGATATTTTATATTCTTTTGTTTTACTAAATCCACAAAATCAAGTATGTGTTTACATTTAGGACACAACTCAATTCAAACTAACCACATTTCAAGCGGTCAATAGCCACATGTGGCTAGTGGCTTCTGTATTGTACAGGGAAATTCTTAAACTTCATTCATTCACCTATTCAACAAATACTTATGTGCCAAATATTTCTTCTAGACTCTAGGGAAAGAGCAGTAACAAAATCTCTGCTCTCAAAGAGCTTATATTCTAATGCTTCCATCAGAAATATCTTTTCCTCTTTTACTACCCAGCTCATAGCTCTAGGTTGTGAGAAGTCATGTGTTTGCCCTTGAGGTGCAAGTTGCCAGTGTCATAGTGTAAGGTTTTCAGCCCTGAAATTCTAGTGTAACTCTCAGGATCAATGAGCAAATTGATTGGATAAGAGAGGGCTCAGTAGCCTTTTGCCTGTAACTCCATTTCTACTAATCTTGTCTCTTCCATAGAAAGTACTCAGTCACATCAGTGACATTTATCTTTGACTAACTTTGTAAGTAAGGAGCCCTATTCATCCAGGCAGAGGACTTTGTATCTTTTACTAATGGTGAAAAACAGCTATCTTTCAATTTATCTGCCTCTTAGTAGTGATCTGGAGTGAATGAGGAGTGAGCTGTACACTCAAGTCCCATGCTTTTAAAAATCTGTTACGCACTGCTTAATTGGTTCACTCATCTTGGTCTTCTGCCTGTTGTTCTGAATCCAAAAGAAAGGTTCAACCAGAACAATGTATTTAAACCCTACCTGACATTGCCTGACACACATCTCATTGGAAATGTTACACAGATTGTGAGAATGAAAAGTCTACCAAAACAGACTTGGAAAACTTTTAAAAAGAGGAATGGTATGAAATAACAGACTATAGGAATACCTCCCAGCCCAACCTAGGAAAAGTTTCAACTCTCTCTGATCAAACTTCCATTTGACACTGTTCATTTTAAGGTTTAACAACCATAGTCATATGTAACCAACACTGACCAGAGTAAAAATCAGTTACTTCAGATTTTATAAATCCCACATAATGACTAGATAATTTAAATGCTGTGCAGAAGCCTATTTGTGAAAAATGGTATACTTTCCAAAGCCTACCATGTTCTCATTCAGATTGGGAAGGTGAAAAACTTCAGCAAGAAGGGAAGAGTGAGCCAGTCAGAGGTCTACTTTAATATGTACAACTGACCACCAGATCTTTCAGCTAGTTTTGAAATAAAATCCACAAGCCCATAGAGTAAATATGCTATGCTTAGGGAAAAACAAAGAGAAATTAGTTCTACAGAGTGTCTATCTATCTGCCAGGTAAGTTTATATGGTTAAACATTATAGCCCCCTGTACTGTGATACTGATATTAGTGGGGGATAGAAACAATTTCATATACAGTTTTGATAGCGATTTTCATTACACTACTAACTTTTGACTTTTGATGATGGTTAGATTTTAACTAGCCACTGCTGATGATAGCAGTTCTTTCTTATCCTGTGATTGTTCTCAAAATTTGATTATTTTCCATGGTGACTTTTCAAGTGTGGAATTCATTTTAACCTGCCCAAAATCATGGGAAGTTACGTTGTGTGCAATGGGTCAGTCTGTGTAGCTAGAAGATGCTAGGACTATAAGATGTAATTGGCTGATATGAACTGAAACTTAACAGTGTAGATAAGGAAAGGTGAGTATGCTGTAGAGTCAGGGAGGAAAATTAAGGGATTGTATTTGAAACCAAGATTTACAGGAAGAAGCATATCGGGCATTGTAAGAGGGCAAAGGAGTATGGATTGTTTAGCGACTAGTAAAAGAGAGGTACTTAAATAGAAGCACATGGTTTGGCGATTTAAGACCTTAAATATCATTTTAAAGAGTTAGTTTTAACCTAATATCGTAGCAGGATTAATTCTTTCTGCTTCCAAATTTTAATCACTCAGGTTTGTTTGTTTTATAGACTCATTCCCTGAAATAATTCATCTCCTTGTTTATTATTTTTAGGTTCCAGAGTTCTAAATCTGGAAAGATCTACCTCCATAGAGATGTACGGCTCCTGTTCTCTAGAAAGTCAATGGAGGTTGATAGCGGTGCTGCATATGAACTCAAATCTTACACTGAATCACCAACAAACCCTCAGTTTTCACCAAGATGTTGATAAGGAATGACAATTTAAAGTATTGTCTCACTATCCAAGTTTGAAAGTAAAAATTAGCATAGAATGGAGTGTACCAAATTAACAGTCAGGAGAGTGGATCCTCTCCTGTTATCCTGGACCAGTTTTCATTAAAGTATTCCTGAAATGAGATCCACATATTCCAAGTAGACTGGAAATACTTATGTCCTAATCTTTTTTTGTACTGTCGAAACCACTTCATTGGACATGTTGCAATAGCAAAACCCCCAGTTAGATTAGTGTTTACACATTTTATTTCTCAGTTATTTAATATTTAATGTTTTCCTTAATACTCAAGTGATGTTTGTCTCTAGTGTTCTAATTTGTAGCACAAATTCTATGTAAAATCATACTATGTATTTTTGACATTAATGTTGAAATCTGAAATATATGCACAAGTCTTTAATTTTGTGTGATGTGTTTTAAGTGCTATTCATTTAAGTTATTGAAAATGAGAATGAAATGTTGAGCTTCTTCAAAATTAACGCACTATGCAAGCATGTGTACTTTTTATATCTCTCAAATTGAGTTCTTACAATACCCCATCCAGGTTGCTGTCTCATGTAGCAGTCCTTTAACATGCTGTTGGCAGTGCAGTGCGGATTAAGCTGCTTCACATTCCCTTGCAACTTCAGATCATGCCCATTCATATTCCTTCTAGTATTCCTTATCCCAAAACAATTCTATTTTTCCTTAACCACTACTATAGAGGCTTTACATTAAATTGCTGTTCCATGGTAGATAACTTTCTCAAATTGTTAAAAGAATATGTACTTTGAAAACAAATTAGTATTTATATTGTAAATATATGCAAAAACTAAGAAATGTGTATTTGGCTTTTATTTTTAGATGAGACATTTATGTGATTGGATGAATTAGCCATCAGGCAGTTTCCATTCTAGATCTATAGCTGCCAAGAGGAGAGGGAAGGTTCTTGAGCCTTGTCCCAATTTATCACTTCCTAGTTAAGGGTCACAATGGAAGGCATTTGGCAACTGAAAGCACCACCAAGCAAGGGAACTTAACTGAGTGCATCAAAAACCTTCTTCCCAACACCCTTGGAAAGAATAGTGTTTTACATGTTTTTCCTGAGACAATGGGTGACAGCAGATTAGATAACAAGGCAAAAATACTGGGAATGCAGGTAGAAATCTATGACTGCAAGTAACAAGTTATATGCCACCCAAGTAGGCCAGACCCAGGAAACCTGGGAGTCTAGAATTAGGGTAAGCAGTCTGGAATTGGGAGGATAGAAAGTCTTTACTTTGGGGCCCAGCTAATTTACTATGTAAGAGAATCTGGTCAGGTGATGAGTGTGTGGCTGCAGGCTATGGAGTGTCAAGCTGAAGCCTCTTATAAATTTCTTCTAAAATACCAGTTAAAAGAGAGAGGCTATTTATATTACATAAAACTAAAAAAAAAAAAATTGGTGTAAATCTATGAAGACTCGTTAATCTTCAGACAGTGTGGAACGAACACGTGACTAGGACCCAAAGACTTGGATTGTAGTCCCAGCTGTAAAGGTATCTGATGGAACTGACTCCAGGAATCCCCTAATCTTTCTAGGTCTGTGTGATTGAGAAAATGTGGTAAGAGCATCATTATTAATGTGCCTTCTCTTCGATTCTGTCATATAATTCTGTGCATATGTAATTGTATGTATATGTATGTTCATATATACACATCTTGATATGTGAATGTATATATATATACGTATTTTAATAAGTATATCTAGACTTCTTATACATTTGGCAAAAGTCAATATCGATAATTTTATACAAAATTTGGAAAACACCAACTAGTTAAAACATCAAAATGTTTTTTAGTTTAAAAAAAATTATTGCTTCTTTGACCTCTCCAGTAAAGATTACCCCAAAATTAGTGATGTGTGTTGTGTTTAGGTGTCTTTTTGCATGGATATCACACTGCAGTCTTTCCGGAATGCTTTCTAGTATGTGGGCTTCCAATCTTTTAGACATATTTTAGAAAATTGGGCGCAGTTGATCGAAACATCTGGGTGCATCTTGTGTTCTTCCTGACAAGTTTGCACAAAGCAAGTCTATGCAGACATTTTGTCCCTCAACTTCTTAGGGCCTCTTTTGGCCATGTTTTCCTCTAAGGTGTAGTCACTCAGCATCTGTCTGCCCTCACCCCATGGCATTTTGTCTATCACACTGGTTCTTTTTCTACCCATCTTTAGTCATAGGCCAAGACTTTACTATACCTCCTACATTTGTATTCAAAGATTATGTCACTAGATTATATCACAGTTGAGTGTTGGCACACAGGGAAAGATACCAGCAGAGAACCAACATTGCTATCTATGGTAGATAATAGACATCTCACTTACTGCAGGCTCACTTGGCAGTTTTGCAGATTAATAAAATCAGTCATAACTGATAACTCCTTTTAAAAAGGAACTACAGATCACAAATAATCCACAGAAAGTCTTTGGAGATTTTATCAGATGAGAATGCTAAAATCTGTTATGAGAATGAAAAAATATTAAGTGATGAAATGAGGACTAGCTGGAAGGTACCCAAAAGAAGGTTCCCTGCTTCTGCCATTTTCCCCACCAGATCTCTGTCATTCCCAGAAGTGGAAAATTTCTCCTTCGAAGGCTTCATCTTTGGGATCCCCACTCTTCCCTAATTAATTGCGTAAATGAAGCAGTAATTCTTTTTTTAACTTAATTTTTTAAAATTCTGTAGGGCTGGCCGGGTTAGCTCAGTTGATTAGAGCGAGGTGCTGCTAACACCAAGGTCCAGGGTTCAATCCCTGTACTGGCCAGCCACCAAAGTAACAAAAAAAAGTTATGCAATACACATTTATTATAAAAAATTTTTCACAGGCTGGCTGGTTAACTCACTTGGTTAGAGTATGGTGTTGATAATATCAAGGTCAGGGATTCAGATGCCTGTACTGGCCAGCCACAAAAAAAAAAAAAAAAATCACACTACATAAGTATGTAAAGTAAATATGAAAGTCCACTCCAAGTCTGCCCTTGCAGCTACCACTTTATAGGGATGGTCACTGTTAGAAATTTGGTATATGACACACCATATGGTCTGCTAGACCTAGTAAATACAAGGTCAGTCAGGATGGAAATAGGCTTTTCATAATGGTAGGAATTTACTCTTGATCCCTAGGACTATCCCTAAATGGCACTGGAATCAACCCATTCTACTTCATAATGGATTGTCTGTGAGAGATACATCTAAATTTGAACATGGAGGGAGGAGGAAGAGCACATATGAATGTCTACTATATGCTATGCATTGTAGGCTGTTTATATGTTATTTAATCCTTAAAACCTTAATTTAGAGAGTATGGATATTCGAATAATTCTACAGTTAAGGAGGATTGAAGCTTGCCCAAAGTCACACTAATATTAAGTAGAAGAGGAAGCATTCAAATCTAGGTTACAGCTTATGTCTTCTTTAACTCTACTACACTGGCATTTTGACTCTTTCCCATTATTTTTCCCACCCAAAATATACTTTTCATCAATATTCTTGGAAATAAAGTTTATAGTTTTCTATGTAATAAGTGAGAAATATAAGGGTACTTCAAAAGTTCATGGAAAGATTTGTATTTTAATTCTATTTTTCCACAAGTTTTTTAAAAGTACCCTTGTAAAGTAAGGCAAGGTCTACTAATCATTAGGAGAACAAATGACTTCGATTTAAAAAAAAAAAAATCTTTGGGAAGGAATGTCCTAAAGCAATTCAGAAGCTATTCAATTTTGTATACTGTCAGGAGGCATGCAAACACAGTTGAGGGAAGTTTTAGAAACACATTGTCTCAAATATTTTATGAGATATATATTATTTTTTAATAATATATATCAATATTTTATGAGATTATATTTTTTAATATATACACATGCTTTTTTTGGTGGCCAGCCAGTACAGGGATCTAAACCCTTGACCTTGGGAATCTGAACTCTTGACCTTTGTGTTATAGCACCACACTCTAACCAACTGCGCTAACCAGCCAGCCTTATGAGGTTTTAAAGGTTTAAAGTTTTTAAGTCTCTTCCAGACCCCTTTCCACTGTTCTTTCTTTTTAATTCATTCAAAATTTTCTTGTTCCAATCACCAGAGAAGTGGCATCCTCTACTTTCTAGGTTCCACTTCCACCATTCATTTGTTGAAACTACTCTGTTTACAACTTGTTCAGATAATGATCCCTGGGCTTTGCTCATAGAAATCACCATTTATCCCAGGATTTTTGGCACTTGGTATCTCTCTTCGTTTCCATGAGTTTGATTTTCCAGTCTCTTCCTATCTCTTTCTTTTATTAAAAATGTATTCTTGTTGTCTGGTAAGTTGAGTCAGTTAGAGCGCAGCCATTTATAATGACAAGGTCACGGCTTGGATCCACATACAGGCCAGCTGTAAAAAATATGTATATATATTCTATTCTGGGTGTTTGCTATATACCCTGGTGATGCTGGTGGACTTTTCTCAGCTCTTTGAGGAATGGATGAGATGGGACATTATCTCATCTCCCTTATTCTACTTGAGCTAGGGCAACTAAACCTCAAAAAGACCCCTGACCTTTTTTTTTTTTTTTTTTTAAAGATGACCGGTAAGGGGATCTTAACCCTTGACTTGGTGTTGTCAGCACCAGCTCAGCCAGTGAGCAAACCGGCCATCCCCATGTGGGATCCGAACCCGGGGCCTTGGTGTTATCAGCACCGCACTCTCCTGAGTGAGCTACGGGCCGGCCCCAAGACCCCTGACCTTTTTAAAGCTTGTATATACCCACCAAACTGCAAGCCAAAGAAATATTTTGTGTATATATGCATCAGAATTACCAGACAGAGCTTTCATTATACATTAATTCTTGGACGTTGCCCCAGACATAATGAGAATCCGTCAAAGGGGTTTCTCAGTGATTCTAATCCCTGTGGCTAATTTAATTAATTAAAATTAAATTTAAATTTTAGTTCCTCAGTTGCACTAGTCACATTTCAAATGCTCGATAGCCATATATGGCTAGTGGCTATTGGATAGCACAGATATAGAGTATTTCCATCATCACATAAAATGCTATTGGACAGCACTGATCTAGAATATATAAATGGCAGCTGAAACTATGAGGGTGGAAGTGGTCTCCTGGAGAGTGTGTAAAAGTAGAAGAGGATCCAAGGACAGAACGGTTAGAATCCTCCCACTAAGAGGCAGATAAAGACTCAACAAAAGAGATTAAGAAGGAATGACCAGGAAAGGAGAGAAATGGTGAGACAATAATATCCTAGAGGTCAAGAGAAAGGAGTTTTGAGAAACAGGTTGTTGGGAATCAGTGTGCAGTTTTAAACATTAAAGTACATGGTTCATGATGATGCAGAGTGGTGTTACTTGGGGAAGGATGGCTTCCCATACAGGGTCCCATAATGAGGCACTGGCTTGGTGAAGTCTGCATTTGACCAAAGTCCGGCCCCCAGAAATTCAAACTTGCCTTTATGAGAATGTCACTATCAGGAACAGATTTTCTTATCCAAGGTCATATATACTGATTTTCTATATGAGTGTGTTTATCAGATGTTAACACAAGTTTACAGATACATTAATGATGTATTAATATACATTAATATTCCAGAAAGCCAATTTATTAATTAAAATACAACTGTGTTAGGTACCCCAGTTAGCCTATCTAGCCTAACATTCTCCTTTCTCCCTGTAGTTATGCTTATAGGCAAATTTCCAGTAGTCTACTTTGTGAGAATGGAATGAGAGCAGATGCTATTTGCTCTCATGATTCTCAGCTGGCCCAGCTTGAGACACTCTCAAGGGACAGCTTTATCAAAGAGTTGGCCTCTTGAACCCATTTATTTTAAATAGTTCCCTGGCTGACAAACCCCTTCCTTCCTTTCTCCAAAAGGAGTGCAATCTCAGCACAACTCTTCCTGTCTTAGAGTCTACACCCTGGTTGAGTTTTGGTGGTTTTCACATTACTTATCTAGCCACTTTTGATCGCTCCACTGCCCCGCAGAATTGCATTCATTATCTGTTGCTTTTTCTTAGTTTAACTCCTAAAGGGCAATCATATTTCCAAGTTCCTGAGGGACACTATCATAGCCAGTAGCTATTCAGATGTCAAGTAGAATGAGGATTATACACACAGCCACGGATTGGTAATTAAGGAAGTCAGTGGGGGAGCTTGATGCCAGCAGTTTCAATAAAGTCAGGGGAGTGGACCTCCAAGAGTAGACAAATAAATGGAGGCTGAATTTCTTCGTCAGATATTTGAGTACTTGGAAGTGCTGGGCTCTCAGAATGAAATATAAGTAAATACAGATGAGGTCCCTGTCCTGATGTGGCTTATCTGAGCAGGAAAAGTGACATTAATAAAGTACTTACAACAATTACTGTCTAATGATACAGCGCATGTTGTTGAGGAACTATATAAACCTGTGATCGCATTTAAGAAGTGGATCTGACCTAAAGTAAAGAGGCTCAGGAAGGAAAGGTTCTCCTGAGGCAGTGACATAGGATTGGGGAAGGACGAATGGGGTTAAGTAGGAGAAACAGAGTGGGGAGAGGCTTGTGGAGGGAGGCAGCACGGAGTTTTGGAGTGCCCAAAAGAAAGCCTGTGTGACTGCAGAGCAGAGAGTGAGGAAGAGAATGGGACCAGACGAGGCTGGGGAAGCGTAATTAGCAAAGCTCCTGAACAAAAGGGACCAAAAAAGCAGGAAACGGCGGGGAGAGGCGGCTCCACACATAAACTACAATTCCCAGGAAGCATTCGGCAGCCACAGACGGATGTGAGGTGAGGCGCGAGCCGCGACTTTGAAGGAAGAAAGGAAGTGCTCGGGCGTCGCAGAGCCAGAGAAGCGGGCTTAGGTAGGTAGGGGTGCGGCGCGGCGCGGCGCGGGCGGGCCGGCCTCTGCGTGTTGGGACAGCTGCGGTCCGAGCGCCTCGAGGCTCCGTGTCGTCATAAGGCGGCGGCCATTTTAGCGGGCGGAGGGGCCCCGGCGGGCGCTGGGCGAGCGGGGGGGGGCGGCGGCGGC